TCATACAAACGAAATGTCCGTCCGCAGTAGAGTAGAGACACCTGACACCACTGAAACTAGCGACATATTCAAATTCGAGAAGGAAAAACACGTAATTACTACTTTTCTCAGCAGCATCCTAGATGTGCAAGCCCCAAATGAAAAATGTCGGAAATTAAATTTCACATACTTTGTCTGCTGACACCAACTTCGTTGTGATCTTCAATGATTGACTGTTGGATTTCTACCTTCAGTCCTAGGTGCAAAGGTAATTGAATATGTATTAGACACATCCACAAAATAGCAAGAATTTAACTTAAACTAGTCAAAACACTCGCCCTATTAGCATTTTGTTTGTAACTCAGTTTGATTATGTACTGAAATCTTGTATACGAAAAATCGTCAGAGCAATTTTCATAAAAACCAGTATGATAAAAGATAATTCAGATGGAATAGTTCTTCTTCATTATTACTGTCAATCTCTCGGATGAACAGTCATTTGCAAACTATGAGAACATTTCAAAAATACAACATTCAAAGACGTCATCTTGGTTGACATGATGTTCACATACAAACTCAATTCGCATGCACTACTTTATCTTACCAAATGTTTTCTATTTTTCACATAAAATGATTCTTCGCTATATATATGTAAGAGACGCAGTATCTGTCGAAAATCACGAATAAACGAAGCCTTAACGTTTCTGTTTTTCGAACGCAGATTGTAAGATTTTCTAGGAATTGCACGAAAGAAGTGATGATTCTCAGATTGATTGAGATTATCAGCGGATGAAGTCAAACTGTCATAAACTAGCAAAATTAGTCAGCTTCTACTTCATACAAATTTAACAGCTTAAGCAGAAAAAATCGTAATGACTCGATTAATGTCACTCCTCTCTAACATTAGGATTATATTTTTAAAAAAAATTTCTGTTATATTCTAACTTTTGCTGTTTTGACACGTATATCATTTGCATCTAACATCGGTTTGATATTAATAACTGCATCTGATAAGCACGGAAATAAAAACCACATTTCATTTTTATGAAAACTTTGGTTTAACAGTTTTCTGTTGAGTTTCAAGCCTATCTCCTAGAAAGTGATTGGTGGAAAATCATGTCATGGTTCTCGCAAGGTTGGAACTTTTCCTGTTTCCTTGCTTCGATTTAAGCTAATAAATGAAACGTGAAACTGTAAATGTCAGTAAAACGAGTCACTTCAAAGAGTATTGTTTCTCTTTTGTCCTCTCTTTGATTTTACTTTTAATAAGTGCACATTTCGCCCGTATGTTCTGTATCTATAACCGTATTTATTTGTAAGGCGCTCCAAATTCGAAATTACAGTGAAATTCGCAATCCACTCTTGTTGCATATCGCTAGACGCAGAATTCTACGCTGATTCAGAATATCACCTTTAAAATTCGATTAACTTACGTCTTCGTTGAGAAAAGCGAAAAAAACGAAAAAACGTGTTTTTTTGCCAAAAACGGTTAATTTTGTAAAAATCACTTTATATTTTGTTACAGCAACTATTTGGAACCTTCAAAGTTAGTTATTCTGACTCATCGTGAAAATTCTGCGTCCAGGGATATGCAACAAGAGTCGATTGAGAATTTCACTGTAACTTCGAATTTGGAGCGCCTTAACGAAAGTTCTCGTACCTTGGAATACTTTATTATCACGTTAGGGTGTGTGACGAAAGCTCAGCAGAAATCGTTAAAAACAACTGCATTTTTGTCACACTCGACGGAACTTTTGTCACATTAGGCGAATTGTCGTCACAGTCACAAGAAACACTTCGGAATTCAATCGAACCTATGCCACCATGCTTTTTTCCAAAAAACGTACTCTCGTCACATGTGACGAAATTTATGGAATATATTCATTTTTATGGAAACTCTGGTTTAACAGCTTTCTGTGGACTTTTAAGCCTGTCTCGTCGAAAGAGATTGGTGAAAAACTCATTGAAACAAGATACAAGCATCGGTTCATAACATAATTCTCGCAACTTACGCCACCATGCTTTTTTCTAAAAATCGCACGAAAGTGCACCTTCCCTCCCCGACCCCCTCCTATGACGAAAGTGCCTTTTACTTGTGCGATGAAATAGAACCGCCAATTAAAACTATCACTGCAATCTATATCTATAGTACCTTTTTAAACAAGCTATTTTGCTATTAGCTATGATGGCTCCGTTTAACACTGATTTATATCATCTGCGATGAACGGGCAACATAGATATAGACAGACACATACAGTTGTGAAAAACTTTATCATTCATTAAAAGAACTTGTTTTGCTTTATGTTTCTGGTGGTTCTGAACAGATCTGCTGCACACCGCGCGTCTTTTTCTGTTCCACCTGTTTCTTTAGCCTGTTTTTCGCTATATTCAACTGATTCATTACCAGCTACAACAAGTTTATCTCTTTCTTTCCGTTGTGCATTCAGTTGTTCTCGTATCAATTTGGCTGTTTCTTTTGATGATTTTTCTGATTCTTTAGCACTTGTTGCCGATACTTCAACCAATTGTTTATATCTATCCATGTCCTGTTGTGTTTTTGTCCGCAAATCGGTGAGTGATTTTTCGTATATCTCTTTTTGTTTTACTAGTGTTTGTTGTACGAGTTGCACACATGAATCTGTAGCTAATTTCATTTCTTGTCGTCTTTGTTCCGTTGATTCGACTAATTGTTGAGCATGCTTACTGGCTTGCAATGCTTTTTGTGCTGACAAATCACTCGATTCAGATACTTTCTGTGCAATGCGTAATGCATTCGTCGCTTCAGATTTTGCCGAAATACATACACCATTCATTTCATCAAGACGGTTTTGAATAGCTGTTTCCAAACGTTGTTCGATTTCTCTCATTTGTTCCATCATTTTACGTGATTCTCTATTATAACGTTGCTCATTATCTCTTCTTAATTCCTCTTTTGCTTGTTCTAGTTGTAGTTTGATTTCCTCAAATGATGCTTTTGTTGTTGTTTCATATCGTTGCTGTTTTTCTCTAATATCATCACGTAATATATTAATATCAACTTCAATTTGATCATGTGACTTCTTCAATATATCTCTGAGGTCACTCGGATCGACAAATATTTTTTGTTCACGTAATACTTTGGCTATTTGTTGTGCTGTTTCTTTAGTGACACGAGAATCGTCAAAATCGGTGTCGTCGTCGTCATCGTCACGAAATGCACCGACTACATTCACGATATTTTCGAATGTGGAGAGAATTTGGCTTCTACCTCTCTCATCAATTCTAGCTTCTTTCAAATTTCGACTGGATTTAATTATATTAACTGTATAATCATCTGCCGGGAACGGGGCTATGTAAACATAACCAAATATGTCCAAATCAACCAGTTCTGGATCAGTATACTCTCTGGGTTTTTGATATTGGTATACTTCACCATAACGATCCATCAGTGATACACAACCGAATAGATAGCGAATTTGCACACTTAATTTATGTTTTTGCCCATATTCATCTGTCCGAATTAATGGAATCTTTAATTTGCCGGTACTCACACCCATTGTATCACTCATGATTTTCAAATTACTTTGTTGTATAGGATTTCTTTTCGCTACAATTAACCATAACTGTTGCGCCAGTGGTTTACTTCGAATAAATTTATGATTATTTTCATCTTTTCCAGATTTCAGTGACTCAATAATCCATTCCAATATATGCTCGGCAACCAGACTAACTGCCATTTCGTGAACTTCTTCTGGTCGTACGTTAATAACTTTTTCTTTTGTTTCTTTCATAAATGTACCAAAAAAGTTGCTGCCTTTAATTTTACCGGATGTATCAATCAATTCAATCTGATGTTGATAATACAATGTCAATAAACCAGCTGTGTTTGACGCTGTTCGTTGTAATTCTTCAATACTACCCAATGTTGATATGTTATACCATTCTTTTTTCTGGCGTTTTTCATCCAGCTTTTCTAATCCTTTCCTAACTGGAAATTTGATGGCATCGAGAATTGGACCAACTATGAGACACAAAGAGAAACACGAGATGCGTTTAGAATGTCATATGCACTCGTACAAACAAAATTGTTAACGGATAGGCACGGAGTCTGGTCCATATCATAATTGTTACATGTGATCTCATTTCGCACTAGTGTGCATCGATCAGTCAACGGTTCTGTGCTTTTTTATGCGAGAGAGCATTTAGATGTTTGACATCCCTCACCGTTTTATTTTGATATCTTGCCAACTCTCAATAAGTGATCAAGTTTCGAAGCTTTTTCTCGAAAAGAACGACGAGACTGCGCAAATAAAGCTCTTTTTTTCTGAGAATCTTGATATAAAGTTCAGAGAAAATTTTTCTCAAATAGATCAGTCTATTGTAAGTGATCACTTACGCCTACTTTGAATAAATGTAACTTTAAGAGACTTATAATTTGGGAAACTGATATATTTTGCAGAAAAAGGGTCCCTTTTAGTTTTTAAGATATAGAGCTGTCAACATCAAAAGATAAAAGTTAGTAAAATGGATTCATTTCAGTCTAATTTTAGTGATTTCACTTGAAAAAATGAATGTTGAACTTGGGCTATGATATTTCTAAAAGTGTTCAAGAAAGTCATATTGATCATTCCAAATTCGTACAATTTCTAAAATTAAAGTGAAATCCATACATTTTACACTTTGGTCCGTAATATTAAGAGCTCTATGTCTTAAAAACTAAAAGAGACCTTTCCAAAAGATAGTTTGACATAGAGTACAACCTGTGTAGTTCAAACTGCCAAAAAAACTGAAGAGGGGTACCTTCACATTTGTTAACTTTTTAAGCTGGGAAGTTGTCAGAATAAACACTAATTTCAAAGTGAAGGGAATCTTTCTTTGGATAAAACGCTAAAATTTGTTCTTTTCTCCATTTTTTGCTTCATATCCGTGTCTGTATAGTATGCATAGAAAAAAAAACCCATCAAAGTAAAGAAAAATGGCAACAAAGCGGCATCGTTAATGTCTACTGTTGAATATAGTGTAAGATACCGTGAAAACCCACAGTGGAAAATCCGGGCCCAAAAAACGCGAGTACAGCGACGATCTTTACGCCGTACAACGTAACTCGTTGTGCTGCTTCTGAATACCTAAGTTCAAAAATTCCGTTTCTCTACGAAAAAACCATCAAACTTTGATAAGAGCTCATTTTGAAGCTCAGAAAAATTCTCTGTCTTTCCACATATAAAACATTCTGGTTCTGAGTAGGGCATATTATAGAGCGTATGTAGAGAAGTATTCCTTTAAAGTATTAGAATAGGTTAGACCCGTATAGGACAGTTGTTCTTTGAGGGCATATGTTTGAGAAGCTTGCCAGTAGCTCATTTAGAAGCACCAAAAATTCTCTATCTTTTTATGTATGCACTCTGGACAAAGTCTTTGAAATCATAAAAATTTGCGAAACAAATGGATGACCTTCGTTGAACTGGTGACGAAAAGTGACGAGAAATAATTTCGTCAAGGAGATCAGGAGCAATTTCGGAAAGTCAGAAGCGTTGGGAAGTGAAAAGAAAAGCATTTCTGGTGATTTTCACTCAAAATCATATCGAACTTTTTCTAGCAGAAACCGTTTCCCGTCCTTTTCAGCAGACGGATGATTGATGGCGGCTCAGAATGTTCGACATAGCAGGGCATCCAGAACTAATCATTAGACATGTAATGAACCGCTATTTCGAAAAATGGTTCCCCTTCTAATCATAAGGTATCAGATCCATGTCCGCCGATACTGACCTACTTTTTGCTCCATTCTGCCTAATTTTTTTAGCTTTGAGACTTACTTATTGGAATCCAGTGTGTAGGTATTGCTTGTATCGTCGTTGCTGTCATACCGACTTTTGTATTTGATTTATCCCGTTGTAACAGACCACCTTGTGCAACCAAAACACTATTGAATAAACTTTGTAAATTATGTTCAATTGTCGTAAAAAACAGGAATAACTTTGGTTTTTCTTTAATGAATTCGAGTGTATATTTTTTCCTCAATGCAGCCTCTTGTGAACGTCTAAACACATACATTGATGATTCCAACATGGCCAATTGTTTCTCTGTTGCATCTTTATTGTCAAATAATTCTTTTCGTTGTAATGCAGTAACATCTTTTACTTTCTTCAGATTCTCATCTGTATCAACTATACGTTTTGCTAACATATCTCGATTTGTTGCTAATGCACTGAGCTCTAAATTTAGTTTTAGAATTTTCTGCTCTAAATCCATCGTATCGCGTTTACACAGTAGTATAGCATCTTGTTCACTATGTATGTTACTGATATCACTGGTACGTTGTTCGACACTGGAATTTAGACTGTAAAATAGTTCTTTGTAGGTGTTTGGATCGGCTGGGTCGAGGACAACGGAACTGTTGGCAATAACATTACTAAGACCAGCTAACAATCCTTTCAGCATTGTTTGATATTCTTCTTTCAGCCGAACTACGGGTCCCTCACCAATATCAGATGGAATTGCAGCTTGCAATTCACTATTATAATACGACTGTAATATGCTTAAAACTTCCCCTTGTTTATTTCGAGTAGCTACTTGCAACATTTGATAACAGATTAGCCGTTTTTCTTCCACATTCTTGTATCGTTGTGCAATAAACTCTTTAACAATTAACATTTGACCATTGCCAGCTGCGCGTATCAACTGTTTTTGATCATATTTTGGTTTGGACGGTGCTTTGTCATCGTCGCCCGGCACATCCACTGCTTTACCTTCCAATAGTTGTACTATACGTTTATAATTGAGTTTTCTTGCAATTCCAAGGGCATCAACACTCATTTTATTTTTTTGCTTTTTCGTTGCCGGATTCTTTTTGATCAAATACTCAATGGATGCAAAATCACCTAAAACAACGAGCAAATTTATGATCAGAATATTTATCAGCTTCAGTTTTTACCTTTCTCAGCTGCCAATGTGATTGGATAATCCCCATTGACATCAGCTATTGTCGGATTAGCGCCACGCTCACATAACCATTGCACCAATTCAATACCATGATACTGAACAGCATAATGCAATGGCGTACGTTCTTGCTCATCTCTGTGATTAAAATCAGCACCCAATGCGGCTAGGGCGTCAGCAGTTTGTGTAGCATTATTGAATACAGCTGTCAAAAATTGTACATTAACTTCTCGTGCCAAATACGTGGCTATTTGATCATATCCATATATGTTACAAAGCTGAATTAGAGAGTGTTTTTCTTCGTGATTCGAATGCAACATTGATGCACCACATGATACCAGACTGTGTACCACAGCAAAATAATTCCCGTACTGGACGGCATAGAACAGAGCTGTTGATCCATGTGCATTTCTTGAATTTATATCAGCACCTAAACGTTGACACTGTATAACACCATTCAAATCTCCATTGGCTGCAGCTATACGTAATTTGCGATCAGTCAGACAACGATTTATGGTATGTAGAATATTGTCAGTCATATTTTCCAACTGAGGTATTTGAATTTGTTGTATATCCAGCCATTCTGAAGGCATTTTACAACCATTCTCACACAATATTTGAACTAATTCATTGTTCCGATGGCTAATCGCCACTAAAAGATTATTTGTATCTGGCATATCGACGCTAGCACCGGCAAGTATTAATTGTTTTACAAGTACAACATTATTTGAACGTATGGCATTTGTACATTCGCTAGACAGACGATAATGAAGATAGTTTTCCGTTTTTGTAAACTTGTTTTCTTTTGCTGTCATATAGGGCGATTTAGGTGCAGTGTACTGAAACATAGCAGTATACAGTTCCTTACTCTGATTAATCAAGTAATCAATAATTGCTATATTGTCGGATGACTGACAAGCTAAATCAAGCATATCGCAAGTCAATTGTCCACCAGCAAGATGGTAGGCGATGACACGAGGTGCATTGGATTGTTTAATGGATTCAATTAATTTTGTCTGTGCAATTTGCTGTAAATCAGCAGCAATTTGTTGACATCCCATTGCTTGTGCAACATATCGTTGTCGCTCTTCTAATTTATTCCCAGGCAGATTTGCTTTAGTCGTGTATTCTCGATATGCCGACTGAAGCACTTCCATCGGGGTTCGATTTCGATTATTTCGATTTCGAATATCTGCACCTTCACCAATAGCTTGTTTTGCATCGTACACATTTCCATCTTTACATGCATCATGCAATTTGGTATTCGGTGCCATTTTTAAAAAACCCGACTTCTTTGCTAACCGATCTTGATCATTTTCATCAGCCATTTGTACTTTCTCGACCAGAACAGGTGTGGGCAATTGACATTGATCTAGATCATGATTCGGTTTAGCCAATCGCGCCTGGGGTTGGTGTTGTTTAGCGTCAATCGGAAGAATCAATCGTTTGAGAAAATGAATAACTTTTTTATTGCTTATTTCATCTTCTTTGATTTTTGCCCGATTGGATAAAGCGAGTTCTAGTGGGGTTTGCTTGACTGCATTTAGAGCTTGATGATCAGCACCCCATTCAACAAGCTCTATAACAACCAATAAATGGTGGTTCTTCGTGGCCAGATGCAGTGGAGTTTGTCTGCTCCTATTTGCTACGTTCAATCGTGTTTCTGGTAGAGCACGCAAATACTGCACAACTGACAAGGCACCATGTTCTGCGGCAACGGCAATCGGATGGTCACCATTGGCGTTCGAAATTGTATATGATCCCTTCAAATCTTCAATTAAATATTTGACTAAATCTAAAGTGTTCGATCTGCATGCCATATGCACCTATAGAAGAAACAAAAACGAAGTTATTCTGGTTTAATTCAACACTAACGGAAGAGATATTTACCACAGTCCATTCTTCATAATCTTCATCCGTATGTTTATGATTAATTTGTGCTCCATAGCTAATCAATTTCGATACCTCGTTCATGGCGGTTGTTTTATTTTTCTCATTGTCATTCGAAAATTGATCAATACAATTCCACAAACGAAGATTTAGTTCACTTTGAACAATCTTTGCGGCAGCTTGACGGTTTTGTTCGATGGCCCATGCCACAACGGTTTTATTCAAGTTCGAATTGAAAAATGTATCGGCTGTAACCTGATTTAATTTTAGAAACGTTTGTAAAACAGCAAAGGGTTGTTCATCATACAATATACATATTTCAATTGGACGTTGACCATTGACATTCATGGCATTCGCGTCAGCATTAAAGTCATTGACAAAGGTTTGTACCATTTCAGGTGTACCCTTATTGGCAATTAGCAAATGTAGCATTGTCTCGTTATTGACGATGGGTGCGTTGATTTGTGCTCCTTTTTCTAGTAATTGATGCACTTCATCCGTTGTGAGTTTACCTTTTCTTTTCAAGATCAAATCTCGCAACTCCGTGTTGACACCTTGTCCGGAGAGAAAAGCAACAATCTGAGCATTTCTTGGTGTTGCATTTTGTGCAATTTGTTGTGGGGTTTGATTGTTCGTATTTTTATGCGCAGTGTTACAACCGGCTGCTACTAGAACTTTAACCAATTCCATATTATTTGCCAAAATGGCATTACACAATACGGTATTGCCATTTCGATCTGTTGCTTCCATGTTTGCACCTCGACGAATCCATTCAATGACTTCATGCACAGGAAGACCGAAATGCGTACTTGGAAATGTATTTAACATTACATTGAATTCTTGTTGTATATACTCGATGACATCTTTGCCACACTGTCGATTGCTTTTTGCTAATGATAAACAAGTTTGTTGCTTATTATCCATTTTCGTAATACTAAGTTTTGCCTGTTGATCGTTTTCAATCAGAAATCGTATAACATCCAAACGAATAGGATTTTGGTCTTGTTGCTGTAAAAGGTGACCCGTTAAACCAAGTGGACCGTATTTGTCTGCTTGATAACAATTGCCACCCAGTTGAACGAGAACTGACATGTCTTGTATGTTGCCATTTGAAGCTGCTTCAGCTAATAGTTGCGAAGCACGCGTTTGCAACACGTATATTAATCGTTTACAATTATCAGCTTGTAGTGGTTGTGAGATACGTTTTCGTTGTTCCTCACCAATAACAACATGGATCATGTATCCATTCTTACTTAGAGCTTTAATATCAGCGCCTTGGTTGATCCAATTTTGTGCCTCATTCGATGAACTAGATTCTGAAGCTCGTCTTTTTACGATTTTCCATAACTCTTTTGTCGCTTTCGTCGCCATGTTGACCAATCTACAAAGAAATAACAAAATGAAACAGAAGGAGGTGAATTGTGCTACGGAAACCAATCAAAAGTTTTGGTCTGTACTGTGTATGGAAAAATGTAGATGAAAGGCCCCAAAATGGCCAGCTTCTTAATTTGTTGTTTATGCATTTAAACTTGTTTTCTACGGGTTTTTATGTTCATGAAAGCGGTCAGAGCTGCTGTTTTGCACTTGCAAATGTGCTCTTTCCCATGATGGATAGGGGAGTTCGTCTATATCAGATTATATAACGCATAAATCGGTTGCTTGATAACTAGTTGAAAAAGGGTAAATCTGGCTATTTTGCACTAACCATGAGAGAAATAAAGTGCTTATCCAATATTTTCACGGCGCACCTTTTTTTAAAAAAACGATCTATAGTAGATTGGAGGAACAAAAGAGAGGAGAAAAATCCTGGGAGAATCATTTATTCTAGACCAAACGTTATTCTTTTATTCTTCTGAGAAAGAAACCTGCATGACTGTGTTTTGCATAACACTCAACAGAAATGTGCTAGTCAGCTGCGAAATTTGCCGTTCGAAACGAAGACACCCGACGGAGGTTTTCATAAGCAGAAAGTTTTTTAGGGGATTTTAGGAACTTACGCTGTGTCTCCAAAACCTAACAGGGTTTTATAGATGCTTTTCGTGGGTTGATCATCGTGAGTATCGTTTTCGAAATGAGAACTAAGCAAGCTCATCATTTTTCGTGGCATGGGATTTTCCAGAAGCTGAATATGTGGTTTTCAATGACATCGCGATAATTTCAAAAATGGATGGAATCATATGTGTGTGACGACGCGTGACATTGTTTGTTTTTCAGAAAAGCTACAGAACCCAGTGAGAGTCTGTATTTGGTGAGATAACTCATTTCCGCTGAAATTAAGAAATTCATGACTCTGTCAAAATCAGTCTTGGATATCTAATGTATCGAGATCTACCCTCTTTTGTCTGTATTATACTCAAATATTTGATAAAATTTTAAAAAGCCAATAAACGCTACAGGTTTTTCTAATAGTTTTGGAATAATCTTTTAGTAACCTAACAATGGCAGTGTGTGACGATTTATTCTCGCTAATAGAAACGGTGCTACGTTTCTGTGGTATGACCTTTTTATTGACCAAGACTAATGAATGTATGCATACTAGGGGCGTTAATTTAGTGTAACATTAGAAAATAAATCTAAATGAATCATTTATATTTAAAAAGTAAATATGAACACAAAAATTTGTCTTTATTGTATAAAAATAAATGCTTCATTTAGATTCATTTCTTTATTTCTACCTTTATATTTATTTTTTAAATATAAATGATTTATTTTAGATTTATTCATTATTATAAATGAACAATAAAACTAAAGTAACACTCCTAACGCAATATCTTAACACAACTCGAAGTTTAGGCAAATCAACAGCATCAACAAAAAGTAGAGAAATAGAATGAGGTAACGAAGGCATACGGAGAAGAGAAAACGAGAGAATGATGCGATATCTACAAGATAACGATGTAGTTTTGATCTTCTGTTTTATAATAAAAATTCTTGACAACTGTGTTAATCTGAGATTCTACAGTTAATACCCAAAATCTTTTTCTGTTTCAGAATTGAAACTGTCCTGGCCACTAGCCAGAAAAAAAGTCAATAACGATATACACGGAAAATAATAAGGCGTCAAAATACACTCATTCGTTTTGAGGTTCTCATATGAGAAAAAGCTCACTGTTGGTAACCATCGAAAACCTTATCGCACGGCTAAAAGGCTAAATTTCAATAGTTCGATCGGAGTTGCCCCTATGAGAAAAAATAAAAATGTCACGATTGAATATTAACCATGAGTTGGTTACCTGTGTTATAAAATCTCTGAAGAAAAATAGCAAACAATTTCAATTATTAACATCAGTCCTTGCACAAACATAGGATCGAACACACGAAGTTCGTCTTTGCAGACGAACTACAAAATCTACTTCGCTGTTCTATCCTACATTCTGTACAATGATTGAAGTTGTGTAATTACTTGATGTTATCTTTCAATATATACTTTTTGTTGTTGTGATTTTTGTGTCTTCTTTTCGGCTTAAGCTTTAATCTTGAACTAGCGTGAAATCAAGAATATAAATGCCCATTATGTCATTCTGAAACTTAAACTATCAAAACACAAAATTAATAACGAAACGAAATCAGTAACGAAATACAAAATAAAGAAAGAAGTCATCATTTTTGAATATGCAGCAGACTGTAATACACAAAGACAGTCCATGTACACATACAAGACAGAACCGAACAAATTTCACCTTTGCACAAAAGTGCAAAAGTAAACTTTGACAGTCTGTCATATATGATGCACATCGATTGAGGTTGTGCAATTACTTTACAAACTGTATCACTCTATTTATACGAGTAGTATACAGCCGACCTCTATTTATACGAGGATTTATGACTAACGCCCATAGTGCTGCCAGAACTACTTATTAGTTTTTGTTTTTCTCTTGGGCTAGTAGATTATTCATCATTTTTGAATATGCAGCAGACTGTAATACACAAAGATAGTCCATGTACACATACTAATACACAAAGACAGTCCATGTACACATATTGTATGTGTACATGGACTGTCTTTGTGTATTACAGTCTGCTGCATATTCAAAAATGATGAATAATCTACTAGCCCAAGAGAAAAACAAAAACTAAAAAGAAAGAAGTACAATCAGTAACGAAACACAAGATCAATAGCAAAACACAAAATAAAGAAAGAAACACAATCAGTAATGAAACACAAAAGCAATAACCAAACGCAATCAGTAGTGGAACACAAAGTAAAGAAAAAAACACAAAATAAATAACGATATACCCAGAAAAAAATATGGCATCAAAATATCCAGTTGAGGAACTGGCAAAATCTCATAAACGTTTTGAAGATTTTAAACATGAATCCGGCCAAATGTTATTACCAATTCAAGGCTATGCTGATTTACCATTATTGTCATTAGAAGATGCTGTTAAACCCATAGAACCATTTATAAACAATATTAAACATCAAGTATGGATTGCAAAAAATAAGTGTAAATTACCATATCCAAATGGCTTGACACATGATGAATCGGCAGCGTGAGTAACACTGATAGATTCTGTAGCATGCAAATCAAAAAATCGCCCGCTTATACCGGATCCTAGTTCATCCCAGTGATGAACGAGTATGGTCAGATGGCTTTCTCGTTTCTGGATACCTTACAATATATTGTTCCTACCCACAATACATTCCAATATTGCTGTACTCCTGCAAAAAAATCCAACCACAAATATAAACTGTGAAAGTGCAAAGAAATATACTTTTAAAATTGATTTAACAAAATTATATCTATTTTTTAGGAAAACTTCTTATGTTCGAAACTAGATAGTATTAGAGTCGAATCTCTGGCTTGTGTGTGTTTTCCTGACTTTCCTACTTTGAACGTTCAGCAGGAAACTCCACCGCCCCCCTCCTCCGGATCAGAAGCCTACCTTAGCCCAGGTAGATCGGATGTAAACCATTTTTTCTGGGAATGTTAACCATATCAGAGTGTGGTAACCAAATTTTTTGACGCCACTAGTAATTGTTCGTGAGAGAGCGCCACAACAAGGACCAAAGATAGGCGTCTACCACGCATGAGAATTCTCATTCTTGATATAGGTCTTATAGTGAATTTAGTCACTTTTGAGATACTTGCTCATGTGCCATATAGTCTCTACTGTTTTGCCTAAAGAGTCTGCGCTGTAATAGCTTTTCTGAAGCAATTTTCCTTTGAATGTTTGTTTCCCTTTCCATCTCCTATTGTTTTTTTCGTTTTAGTATTGTCCTCTATACAATGGAATGGAAAACAGAAAATGGAAGTGTTTATCGTGTGCTTAATGATATTTTACGTACCGAAGATCGTGAACAAGTAAAACCGTTCTATTCATATTTAAAACTTATCCTAAGTGGCCTTTGGAAATTACCACCGGTTAGTAAAATGGTATTTCGTGGTATAAACTTTGATTTAACTGATAAATATGAGGTAAATAAAACATATACTTGGTGGGGTTTCAGTTCGACAACTGAGACATTGGCACAGACAAAACAGTTTTTAGGTGAAACAGGTCATGCACGTACATTATTGAATATTGAATGTTTAAATGGTAAAATGATTAAAGATCATTCGTGTTTTAGCTCTGAACGTGAAGTACTTTTATTACCAGCTCTGCATTTTGAGGTTGTAAGCAAATTAAGTCCATCACCCGATATACATATTTTACAACTGAGAGAAATTGTACCTTATTGTCCATTATTAGAACCACCATTCAACTCGTCGTCATTGCCGATTCAGCCGACAACAACAAAGTCATATTTATCCTCTATTTCTCCGACAGTACCGTATCCTTCATCCCGCTCTCATTCTCCAAGGGCTAATGGCTCGTATAATCCACAATCACGTCAAACCTTCCACGAGAGACGTTTAAACGACGAACGCCAACGGAATCGAGATGTCGCATTGGCAAATTTTCAAAATAATCAATTGACGGATAACGATTTACAACGAGTGATTTTGGATGAATTAAAAACAAATAATTTATGGACAGAAATACGTTTATCACAAAATAAAATCACTGGACGCGGTGCACAAAATTTATGCCAAATATTAGAAAACAATAAAACAATAAAAAGGTTGACAATATGGGATAATCCATTAACCGACAAGGGTGCAAACTCATTTGCTAATTTACTTAAGACTAATCAAACATTGGTATGTTTATCATTGGGTGGAACACAAATAACCGATAACGGAATTATTGATCTTGCTCGTATGTTAAAATCGAATGAAACATTACAAGAGCTACATGTTGATGATAATGAAATAACTGATCGAGGTATGATTGTTTTAGCAGAATCATTAAAAAGAAATGTGAGTTTACAATGGTTAGATGCTAAACAAAATAAAATATCGGATAAATCTGTATCTGCTCTTATTGATATGTTAACCGAAAATGATACAATGTCCACATTAAATCTAGATCGGAATGGCATATCAGAAAAAGGTAAAAATAAATTACAAGAAGCAACGAATAGAAATCGTACAGTGAAAACATTGTTAATCAATGATCAAAAATCATGTAGAGTACAATAGTCTTTTTAAATAAAATAAATTTAAAAAAATAAACAATTCACCCATCATACGGTAAAAAGCTGATCCTCATCATTTTAATGATAACAGGATAATGATCCTTCTTGTTGATGATTATGTTTAGTACCCGATGTATGATCAGTATGTCCAAGCATATTTTTCTTCAAGATCATGTTGCCGTCTTCTTAAATCATATACATCGCGCATGGGTGGTATTTTTGTGAACGATGGCGCTGATCTATTATACCATTACCATTGGTAATTATTTGATGATGATGATAATGACGTTATTCAGCTTTATATTCTAATTACTAAATTATTAATACTAACACTATTAAGTGCAGCCCCACCCCCCTTTTTGAAAACATTTCGGATTTTGAGCTGAGCATCCCAAGCAAATATCACCTATGAGAAAAATCTACTAATCTAGATGAATCAGGCGATACTAGATCTTTTTTTACACTTGGGACAGCCTAATGTAGAGGAAAGTGTGGGCTACAAAATGAGGCCACTCTCAGCACTCCACGATCTTACACGTGATACAGTATTGAAGTTTTTCCTTCATAGCCTAAAACAGCTCCATTTTTTAGTTTCATAAACTTTTCCAAGGGGGAAAAGGCTACTTTTTCCTTTCTTAGCATCTGAGCGCATCGGAAAGCATATGAACGGCTCCGGCAAAGGGCCTTTTCCCCCTTGAACTTTTCTCTCCTTTTCTGTACGTTTGAAATTTTTCTTACGCATAATCAGATATAATGAAATGTTTTCTTCTCAATAAGATATTTTCCAGAATTTTCCGATGAGGTTTCGTGGAGATATAAGCATCGCGGCAAATGCCCTGAAAAAAGTGGCCTAAGTAAGGCCTTACAAAATGCGTTCTTTCTCTAAAACTATTTTTTGCTACCGGATTTCATTGGACCACATGACGACCTCCACTAAGTTACATCCGATCGAGTTAAAAACTTTACCAGAGGTACTCAATTTTATAGAGCAGAGACTTACTTTTGAAATTTTATTTTAGACCTTTCTTGACTGAGTTATGGGGTTTCTAAAATTAAAAAACTTGATTTTTGAAAGTTTTTTGGTATTTTTTCTATAACTCGGTAAAGAAAGGTCTAAAATTGAATTCCGAAAGTATGTCTCTGCTCTATAAAATTGAGTACCTGTGGTAAAATTGTTAAGTCAATCGGATGAAATTTAAGAGGAGTCGTAATGTGGTTCAATGAAAAATTAAGTTTTCTGGAAAACTAGTGAACGGCAATAGTTAGTAATTTGAATGTGCATCATTCGATAGGGAATTTCATACTGATTAACAATATGTGACTTAGAATTTTTTTAGTGTATGTTACCACCGAGAAAAATTGAAAATACTGAGAGAACTCTCTTTTTTTTGTTTAAATGGTGTAATTCCGTTCCAAATGGATTTGGAGCTTTACAAAGATGTTTTTCTTGATCAGCGTCTAAAACTGCATCTAGAAAAGTATATTTGAAGGTTCTAAATGACATCGATTTTCTAATGGTGCATGATCGTTGGTTTGGATCACTCGGTACATGCCCGATATCGTTACTGCCTTTTGTTGTCTGCAATACTAGATTGGACACGATAATCATCACGCTAAGCAAACAATTGAATTTGATTAACATATTCGTCGGTAAACATCGGCGAAAACTGGTAAACTTTCTTTCAAAGAAAAATGTAGACTTGTCCTCTTTCTCTTAACACGTTCACTGTCCACAAGAAAATCTAAAACATCATCCATATGTCCATTTTAGATAATGATCTAAATCAACGTGATAATGCTACTATGAAACTTAAATTCACAGTTTTTCGTGTTTTTGGTATAAAAAAAGAACGTGTTAAGGTGACAATTTTTAGACTTATATCGGTGGAGAAAAATTTGGTACAGAAAATTTTGTGCAATGCTGCTCCTCACTGAGGAGTTGACATGTGATAATGCGTTGCAAACGTTTCTCGCCTTCTCTGGATTTTTTTGAATATCACATACCAACTTCTCATCAGCTTTGAATAGCAAATGTTGAACTGCTTTTCTTCTGTTTCTGTTTTACTCTGTTATTACAATAATTTATTTCGATGTGATGAAAAGGCTTAAAGAATATCTCATACTTTTTACTTAGATAAAATTTTAATATAACGAAAAAAGGTTGTGCAATAATACTCAATGGTTTAGTCCCATCTTTGACGACTCATGATGTGTGCTATAACTCATTATGTTTGCTATTACTCATTATGTCAATAGTAATTGGTGATATATATTCCTACATTATTTTTGAGAAATTTTGGAAGGGTATACTAGTGCTGTGTAATTACTGTTCATTTATGTCTCGTGTATTTGTGTTTATAGTGTATATGTATATTTTTGATACGAGGGTATAAAATATTTGTTTAAACATTCTAACGAATGTCTTTAATTCATACTTTTTTCTAGTGAAAAGTTCTTGTGATGAGCTATCATACTGCCTTAGGACATTAATGGTTATTATACAGACAGATCAAATCCATAGGCGGCGCGCCATAGTAGCGAGGGGTAGCAATGGCTACCCCTATGGAAAATTAGGGGTAGCAATAGAAAGTTATTGCTACCCCTAATAACACATATTCTGGGAGTTGTTAGAAGAAGTGGGAACTGGGAGTTGTTATTATTTATTAAAATTATGAGTTTAAAAAATTTATTGCTACCTCTAGAAACTTTAACTTGCGCCGCCTATGATCAAATCGAACCAGTCAAATTCAGTCATGTACATGCACAGTAAAATAAACGGGTGGATAATTGAACGGTCACGCTGGAAGTAGAATATCGAGCCGAAACTACAGCCATCTGCTGATGCTTAAGTTAGGACAAAACTGCCGTTGAGGTGGTTCGTTACAAGTAACTGATTAATAAAAAAAGCTTTTAAAAGAGAACCATTCATTAGAATGCATAAACAAATATTTCAGCCTTGTAAAAAAACAAGAGCTACAGTCGTCCGAAAGAACGTGATAGGTTGCATGAAACAAAAGGTTACTTTATTTTCAGAGTTCATAACGTTCGTAACGCTCAAGAAATGGCAAAAGAATCGACCTTATCGGTAAAATCTGCTGGCTCCATTGATTTCACTTTTATGTCTCCACGATTCTCAACTGAATTTTCAGAGGATATTTCAAATGGTATTGCTTACCTAGAAGAGCACGGTTATGTTGTATGGAAAGATATAGCGAACGAAAATGAAATTAAGAAAGCGTACGATTTATTTTGGGATTGGGCTGAACAATATGGTGAACATGACATATCACGTTATAATGTTGCCAGTTGGAGGGATCTTCCATGTAATAATCGAGGTATTATATGGAATGGTGGCATTGGTCAGTCACATTTCTTATGGTATATACGTGGTTTGCCCAATGTGAAAAAGGTATTTAGTACTATATGGAATGATGACAAGTTACTTGTTAGTTACGATGGATGTAGTGTATTTCGACCAAGTGCATATAATCCTACCTGGCAAACAGAAGGTGGTTGGTATCATGTTGATCAGAATCCTAAGGAAAAGCCCGGCAAGGAATGTATACAAGGGCTATTTTCAGTATTAGATCAAAATGAAACTACAGGTATGTATTTTCGTATAATTGTACTGCTGTACAGCCTTGCGCCAAATAGCTGAGAAGTGCCCACCTGATAGCAACACGAAGTATAAGGGGTTTGACAAATCTGACGGAAGAGGATTTAAATGGGCTAGATCGTGTTAAATAGTATGCTATGTCTAAAAAAACTTGGCGGTACTGCGCTTCACCGATCCTCACCATCTTCGATATGAATCATTCATCACTGGAAAACTTCAAGTTGAATATGATACAAATAGATCGTATTCGACTCTACTTTATGGCGCTTGATACTAAAAATGATGTGAAAGAAATGGTTATCTATGACAATGATACAGCCTTACTTTATACGTTGTTGTTTAGACCAACGAAATGTAGTATATTCTTCGTTTCTTTTTCGCTGTTCAACTCTTCACTCTATTAATAAGACAACTAACAAAATAGTAGAACAACAAGTAGAACAGTAGTAGTAATAAAACAGTAGAAGTCATTAAATTCAGCTTCCTTTGTTCACACGAATGATTATACTAATCTAAAAAACTGATTATATGTGCCTTTTTTTATCTGTATAGTGTACAGTTATTCCAAACTGTTTCTGTTTTAGGTGGTCTCGTTGTGGTTCCTGGTTCTCATAAGCATTTCGCATCCCTAAGGTCAATTACACGTGATCCGATCAGTGATCTTGTTGAAATTCCATCTAATCACTGGACAATTCAACGACCAAAGCCAAGATTAGTAAAATGTAAAGCTGGCGATCTAGTGCTATGGGATTCACGGACAATACATTGTAATTCACCAGCTTTAGTTAATAATCCTTCGTCGATTTCACCGGCTCCCGAACTTAACCGTCTCATGCGTCTAGTAGCATACATTTGCATGACACCTGTAAGTAAAGCAGGTAGCATGAAAGACTTAGCGGAATTAAGAGAAGGCCGTTTAGAAGCCGTACAAAAAGGTATTACTACTAACCATTGGCCACATGAATATTATGGTGGTTGTGAGCCGAGCAGTAATGAAAAGAATCCACATGTCCAATTAAATGAACAACAAATGAATTTAGTAGTGGGAAAATGATAATGAAAGAAATGTAAATGGTGCACAAAATAACGGACTGGACATATATTAATTCGTTTTAAATGTGATTGTAACCGGTGTTACTGTAAATATAACTGCAAGTCTATACGAGAGCCATCATCTTAAGGGTACCCTTCCAGTTTTCTGACCCTGTTGGAGAGCGTACACGCCAATCTTCGATCGTCTCTAAATTCATACTAGAGATAAAGTATCGAAAAAGAGAATCGATATATTTTTGTCCAGAATTTGGTGTCATGTTCGTCTATGGGTTTTCTAAAAAACTCTAGTTTTCATCCAGTCACATTATGACCCCTTGAAAAAATGGTCCGATCGAGCTCAAATTTTTAACACAAATACTTCAGATCTTATCTCAGTCTTATAATCATTTTCTTCAGAAAATATGCTTTTCTTCTCTAAATATTGGAAAAGTGCTGGAAAGCCGATATAAAAAGCATGCAAAAAGTCGGTATTTGATTTCAAAAACCTTCTTACTCGGAAAGTTAAAACTGAAAACGCTTTTAAAAAACTTACATAAATAGGGTTTGAAGTATCTCTGGTAAAAATTTTAGTTCGATCAGGCAATTTTTTCGAGAAATTATGATCTGACTGGATAGGAGCCATTCCTGTTATGTGAACTACAAGCAGTATCAAACAGATCACTCTTTTCGGGACTAGGGGTGGCACATTACTGTTACTTTTACGAGTAATCCAAATATTATATATATTCCTGTTACCAGTAACAGTAATATTTTTCAGTTTTACTGTTGCTGGTGATAAGAATGTTCATAAAATTTGTACCAGCAACAGTAAAACTGAAAAGTATTACTGTTACTGGTAACAGGAATATATACAATATTTGGATTACTCGTAAAA